ACCTATGTTACGTATTTCCCAATTTTTTCTGAAGTGGAGCAAGAAACCAACATTATACATTTCTCAAAAAGAATGAAAGAGAGTGGATCACATGCTCCATTGAAACAAGGAGACACTGTGAGGTAAGCATACTTAAAACACTTAAAGAATATTTTGATGTTTTCTTTGGACCAAAGAGAATCGGAGAAAGCCAACGACTAAGAGATAATTCCCCTTTTCACCAACTGTGCTATAACATTTCAGTTTGCATCTCAAAATGAGACTCTCCTAAAGCAAAACCAGATTAATCATAAGAGGAAAAGTTCTGTTTGTTTGCTTTAAAAATCCATTTAAGATACTGCAAACATCTGTAAAGATATGTTACCAAAATGAAGTAGCCACATAAACTCCACATGCAAGAAGTCAGAGACCAGCAACAAATCAAAAGGGACTTTTTAACCCAAAAATTTTAACTCCAGAAAAAGCTCTTAAAAATGTACGTGATATTACACAAGCACTCTATATGACAAAAAGCAAATGAGAAATCAAAACTGAAAAGGAAACCAGAAAGATATAGGTGATAAAGTTATCTTGTTAATGAACTTACCAAGTCCAACATTACACAGCTTTTCCAAATCTTATACAACGTCTCAGAAAAGAAATTTTTAAATCAAACCAGGTGTATAGTTTACTTCAGGATAGGCTTAAATAAAGCATATGTATGCTGGTTTTGGCTGGCACAGAGTTAATTTCCTCATAGTGGGTAGTATAGGGCCATGTTTTGGATTTGTGCTGAACACAGTGATGATAATATAGAGATGCTTTTGTTACTGCTGAGCAGTGCTTACACAGAACCAAGGGCTTTTCCTCTTCTTGTGCTCGTACACTGGTGAGGATACTAGGGGTCTATAGGAAATTGGGTGGAGACACAGCCAGGACACCTGACTCCTAACTGACCAAAGAGATATTCCATACTAAAAGGTATTATGCTTAGTATACAAAGTGAGGGGGAAGAAGGAGGTAGAGGACATTTGTAGTGATGGCGTTTGTCTTCTCAAGTAACTGTTATGCCCTGTTCTCCTGGAGATGGCTGAACACCTGCCTGCCCATGGGAAGCAGTGAATTAATTCCTTGTTCTATTTTTCTTGCATGTGCAGCTTTTGCTTTACCTATTAGACTGTACCTCAACTCATGAGTTTTCTTGCTTTTACTTTTTCAATTCTCTCTCTCACCCCTGTGGTGGGGAAGGGAACAAGCGGCTGTGTGCTGCTTGGTTGCTGGCTGGGGTTAAACCATGATAATATGTTATAAACAACATCTGAGGTTACTACAGGATTTTGCCAGAAGCTAAAATGTAAGCTGTCTCATCTCATAGCTTAGGTGAAGTTATGATACCACAGCTGCAGGGTACGTGGAAGGAAAGTTTGATCAGACTGACAACAGGATTCCTGTGAAGACAAGGAGCTAAAATGAAGCTTACGTTTCCTTCTGTCATACCGCACACAACATAGCATTAATTGTTAAGGAATACATTTCACAGTGTGCAACTGCAGTGTAAGCAGGCCATGAACTGCTGACCCTTGCATAACAAAGGGCACTGGGACCAGACACTCAGAGACACAGCAGGAGCCGACAACCCACAGACTTTTGGACTGTAAGGGTATAAAAGCCCAGGGTTTCCTTGTTTGGGATCCTCTCTCCTTGCAGGCACTCAGCTCAAGTTGTTATTTTGTGATTTACTTATTGCACCAAGATTAAACAACTTTAAAGATAAGCATGTCTGATACTCTGCCATGGGAAATCTAGGGTCAAGCTGGTAAGGAAACCCGGTCTGACTGTGAGTGTGGTGTGTGTAGCTGTGAAGGGGCCTCGGTCCTAGTTCAGGTGATGCGAGTGTGACTGTCAGACTGGCTACTCAATGGTTGGACAAGGGAAGTTTCCTGAACATAATACTGTTATAATGAAGGATATTCAGTCCTTTGAGAAGACAACAGCAAGATGCTGGTCTTCTCATGAAGAATGTTGTGCTCCTCTTTTGTTATGACTGTCAGTGGTGCCATTAATCAACTAATAGCTATGATTAATGCTGGTATTTCTAGCCACATAAATATAGCTTTAATCTACCCCCTATTCCTCTGAGAATGTTGTGGTATCTCTTTTTATAAATTTGGGGAAGAAAAATTGTGCAGAACATGTATGACATGAGAATTCAGCTTTGAATTCCAAGACTGCAATACGATCAGCAGCAGGTTTCCAAAAAAGTTATGTGAAACTGCAGTTCAAAAACTGAAGAACAGAAAGCTAAAACTGAAGTTCAAGTATTATTTTAGAGTGAAATTCACAGTACTTGGAGAAAAGTCAACTGTCAGACTTAAGCAGAGGATCTGAGAAAGATTTTCACGCTGTTACAGACTTACAGTGTAAGACTCCTTTGAGACAGTCCTGGAATAAATATTCCAAGATGTGTTAATATATATCACATCTGTTTCAGTAGCTCCATTTAGCATTTGAATACACATTGTTACACAGTCCCTTCTGCAGACTGTTCTCTAATCACCTTCTGTGTTGTAATCTCTTCTATAAACACTGCTGCAGCATGCTAGCAGTGCCACAGAAACACTGATACTGGCCCAGAGCAAAAGTCCTGTGAGTTCAGACCTTTGTCTCTAAGAGGGCTGTAAGCAGATGCTAATGGAAAAATAAGAGGACATGTACATATACTATATCCTTCCAATGCCCTCCTAGGCATCAAGAATTTGCAGTACAGACCTGAGTGAGATGTGTTTTCTGTGCATTTCAATGTCTTTTGTGGATTTTTTTTCCGTGAACTCAATCTCCTCTGCACCCACATAAACTTCCAGTAAGAAACCAGTTTTACATGCCCAGTTTCTGGTGGTGTAACACCACCAGATATGTTAATCACCAGTGATATATTAAACAATGTATTAAAAAAAGCTACAATTATAGTTAAAAAATTTAGACAAAACTGACTACCCAAATCAAGCCCCTTTCTGTGCATTTCCTATTGAGCTGCCATCTGAATCCACTAAGTGCCTGACTAATGTGTGTTAAGTCTCCTCAATTCAAATGCTGCAGGTGCTCCTAAAAACTCACTCCAGGTAGCTCCATAAAGGAAAATAAGTAGAAACACAGCAGATGGCAGGCAGGGCGTTCAGTCATGAGTGAATGGGTCCTAGCTTGATGTCCTAGTACCAAGTGCAATTTCTGTATTTTGCCCTTAAGAAACAAAAGCTCAGTCCTGGAGGCCCAAACCCTGTGGAGACCTTAAACCTTCAATGCAGGAGGGAGCCCATCTGTAGTTCCCACCTGGTCTAAAGGAAATTCTATACTTCAGTAAAGTGCAATGCACACACTCCTTCCTGACAAGCTTGCAGTGCCTCCGTAAAACACTCCTTTGGTTGGTTAAGATGGGAGTGCTGAGCTTTTTCAAGGACAAGAAAAAATTCAGAAAGGGAGCAAAAAATAATCCATGCATCTTGCTTTTTTGCTAAGTTTTCAAGTTACAAGACTACTCTGTGATTCCAGAGCCCAACAACCTTCCCCTGTACCTCTTCAAAAGGAGAACCAGTACTTGCTCAGCCTTCTGGAAAGTTATAGGTATATGCCATCCAAAGCAAATTACTGGCTCTGAAACAGGATGGGAGAAGACTGCAACCCTTGATTCTGGGCTCTAGGAATAATAAGTACTGAGAAGATACCACTCTTGCCATGTTGCCTCCCAGTTAGCTTTCAGAGGTTTCCTTGCTGCTGAAGCAGCAGCTTTCTGAAATTACCTTTTAAAGCACTTGACATTTTATACAGCACCTGGTATTTCCACCTCAGGAATCAGATCTCCTATTCTTTATTTAGTCTAGACCTAAACTCTTGTATTGTGGGAGAAAAAAGTACATATGTCTTCCTTGCATATGAATAATCATGTTTACATTCAAATTTTTATCCATTTATAAATAATATGAATAATGGATGTGACTTAATTTCAACACATCATTCAAAAACTGAGGAAATCTCTCTAGCTCATGCAACAGAAACATTTGAGTGTCTGTGTTTAACGAATTTCAAGCAAAGTTTGACAGAATACCAATATATCTAGAGGAAGAAAAGTTATTCTTGCAACGGTGAATGTATCAAAATTTCAGCTTCATGACATAAGTATCAGTGGAGTAATTTCCTATTCATGTAAACAGCTGTCTAGGTTTCTACTACCATATCTGAGATCTGAAAGCAGTCATATAACTTTATCAGGTAAGCATGGAAAGGTCCTGTGCAATACTACTTATTTTAAATATTTATTATGGCTTATTCTTTCTCACAGGAAATGTATTACAGGTAATCCAAATATGCTGTTAATCAGATTTATCATGCTTATATCGCTGTTCAGAAAGGGGATTACTGACTTACCTATTATTAAATATGAGCTGCAGTTGTATGGACAACTGAGTTATATGCAACAAAGACACCTCTTAGGAATCCTTTCTAAATCTGAATTATGTGTGTGGTACATGTCTGAGAGCAGACTGAAAAATGCTAATATGAGACTGGCAGAGTGACAAACAGGCAAAGCCTGGACACATCCAATACAGGGGTTTTACTGGTTTTGTCTTTAAACACAGCTCCAGTGTTTATCAATTAAGCAGTAAAGAATAAAATAAACACCAAGACAGCACATGTGCAAGCAAGACAGCACAAAGCTACATGGTTAAAATAAATCTACTGACCTTTTCTTAGTTTGAAATATTCAAAAAAGAAGAGGAAAATTGTCTAGCACAAGTATTAAACCAATATTAGTTAAATCTTATTACTCCACCTGCATGGGGTTAACTGGCCCTAGCTCCTTTCACTTCATGCTCTTGAGTCGAAGAACTTCTACAAAGTTTGAAGCTGAGTTGAACTAACACACTTATAACTCAAACCTTAATTGTAATTTTAATACCCTCATATAAATTTACATAATGAACATGTAGCTTCCCAATCATTATGGCAGTGATTAACAGCACACTTACCGCCACGGTCCCGGGCAGCTAGATTTTGTCCTCTTCTTAGAGTAACATCCAACTGGTACATTCCAGGGTCCCCAGAGGGAAAATCTGCATTACTTATTCCAACCAAATTTGTTCTCTGCAGAGCGTGGAAATAAAAACACGACAGCTGATGTTACTAAAAGTTTCATGTAAGGTATGTATTATGTATCACCATCCTACTGAACTAAGACAAGGTCATATCCCATTCCCCAACCTCAGAGCTAATATCCAGCATCAAGGAATCTGCCCATCTCATCAGTATGACAATTCCTGAGATTCACCTTTTTTTTTTTAACAAAAACAACAAACAACACCAGAAAAATAAACTGGTTGACAGTTGATAGTTAAATATGTTATTTTAAAAATGTGGTTGAAAAAATAATTCTTTGATATACAGGAGGTGACACTAAGGTCTTTAAAGTCCCTTCCAACCCAAATCATTTGATGATTCTACGAACCGCCACTTTTAATTACATTCACATACAGTCCTGGCCCACTAAAGCAAAATAGGTAAGAAAAAAAAGCTAGACCTTACAGTACTATTTGGACAAGTCATCACTGGCACCCTCAAATCCTGTGTTTATCCAAGTGATAATCTATGCACTGAATAAATATACATGAATTAAGATTTTGTCAGCTACTGCAGTACTTTGGGGTTTTTCCACAAAGTTCTGGGGGGAGCTGTGAGGGGAAAATGATCATAAAAGACATTAAATGCAGTTGTAGCTTTGCATGCCAGGACAACCACTCTTATTATTAGTTATTTAGTGATATAAAATGTATCAGTAAAAAAAACCCCATCCAAACCAATAAAGGAAGTCAGAATGTAAGGAACTCTCCCAACCTCCAGACTGCATGAACAGTAACCACATTTCTGTCCCATAGACAAAGTAGAGAAACTGTATTTCCTAGTACACATAAGCTTTTGCAAAATAGTTTTTAACACATCTCTCTGTAAGTAGAATCTAATTACAGTGTGTGCTTGGAATACTACATTTTATTTTAAGACTACAACAACTATATCGATTATACATTCACAGTACATATACAGAAGTTTTATCTTTTCCAATGAACATCATACACATATGCTCAAGCCAGGAGCTAAATCTTTTAAAAGCAGTGCTATTAATATTTTACTATGTGATTACGGGTCCTCTGCAAGGGGAAAAAAAAAAAGTACCATGATAGAAATATCACAGAGACCACATGGGTACCAAGTGCTATACTATTTCAAAAAGAAACAAGTTTTGTCTTCTTTCTTCCTACTAAACCCTTTTTTCTTATTAAGGTAATAATGAAACTACAGTACAAAGGCAGGCACAAAATAAAGGCATTTCAACAGATGGCTTATTCTCATTATTCCAGAGTCATAACTCTGAGCCCTAACATATTTAACCTTTGCTGCCACACATACACTGCTGGCCAAATCGCACACCAATATGCTCATTGGTTCCACAGCAAGGAAATTTTTTCAACACTAGTGCATTTCAAAGAAAATGGTTAGATAAGCTTTGATTTGGTAGAGGGGGGTTGTTCTTGAAATCTAGCAACATTTATCTTTTAATTTTGTTCTTGTAAAGTAACTGATGAGGCAGGCCTGAAAATATCAAAAGACCTCACAAGACTCTTGCAGAAGGCAGCCACCAGCTTCTTTTAAATTACTAACTCCTCACTTACCATCTCTTCTATTCACTCTTTTTTTTTTTTAATGCACTGTCTGCAGGATACAAGACTGACAACAGTGACCCCACTCCTGCAATGCTTAGTATCTAGTCCAGTCAGAAATACGGAAATAGCTGCATAATGGCCCCAGCCTCATCCATGACCGCAGCATTTAGCACAGTATTATGAAACGAAGAAATGTGTTCTGCAGTAACAATAAAACCCAAAACTTTCCTTCCCCTTTCTTGCCCTCCTACAAGAGTTTGCAGTCACAAAAGAAACATGGTGTCTCCCAACATTCATATTCTTCCTTGCCGAGTCCTCCTCTCTCTTCCCCTCTGAGGCAGAACGCAAGCTCTACATTGAACTTCCTCGCTTTAAACATGTTTTCTTTTCCACTTCTCACATCTTTTTCAATGTTTTTCTTTCTTTTTTCTTGCAACAGAGCTCCAGTTTCTTTTTGATATTTATATTAATCAGTTTTTCAGCTGTTCAAGGAGGCTAGAAACACTTAGGTGAGCAATGTAACAAGCCTACAGTATGTAAACAGTTAAACAAAAAGCAGAGATATTAACTATCCCTAAGTATTTAGAAAGTCAAGCCAGCATTTCTACATCCCACTAGTACCATTTGAAGTACTATTCCATTAAAACTGGAGGTTGCCATAATAAACACAACTTTCAATAAATCATTTTTTCAATCACCTATTTTAATTAACGAGTTCAAAACTTAAAATAGAAACAAAGAACCACTTTTGCACGGCCTGTAGTAATGAACTGAAGTTAGAAATATTCAGACAAGCAACTTGGGAGCATGCATGAAAGCCTACAATCGCCCAAACCATAGAACTGTTTCAAAAACAAATTTTCTGAACTTCTGCACTCAGAATAATTCCACCAGTGTCAAGAAAAAAGCTCTCTGTACTTAGGGGAAAACAAACAAACAAACAAAAGCCAAACAAAAACATAAAAAAACCCAAAACACAAAAACCATCACAACTAGTAGTTTTTAGCCTCAAGGCTGTTTCTTACTGACTGCTACAGGATGACACCAAACCTGACAAAGAAAGGGCATGCTTTGACTTTTTGTGTCTAAAACGTGCAGAATATGTTGAAAATACTTTTAATAAATCTTTAGCAAAAATAGTTAGATTCCAGACAAAGACCAGAAAGGCTCAAGTATCCAGCTTCAATTTTAAGACGAAAAAAACATTTTGGTCAATTACAGCTTTATTGTGTCTGCCATCAGAAGAGTAAGACACAACCTCACTGCTCATTTTTCTAGATGGACAGACTGAAGGAAGAGTTAACCCCTTGAATTCAAACCATCCATGACATAAGAATAGTTAGGCAAATGAGTCACATTCACAGATACAATACAGATGTCTTCCACGTTCTCCACATTAGTATTACAGCAGCCTGAGTCAACTGTAAAGCATCATAATTAATTTTTAGTACCAGAAATAGTGAAGCAGCATTTATAGAAAGTAACCAACTACAGCTGGTCCTACAGCAATCTGCATTACTCTGTAGACATAAGAAAGGTATACATAAAGTAAAAATGCATCCTATAAAGTAACTGCAAAAATATCCCCTTGTGTAACTAGTGATCCTGAAGTGAGAATACCTCAGAGTCTACAAACGAGATAATGTTGCTCAAAAGCCCTGGGAAAAACACAGCCATGTGTTGCTGAACAAACAGCCCCAACCCAGAAAGAACAGTATGACCTAACCAGCTCCTCCAGCTGACTTGGCTCATTAAGATAGGTATTTTGCTAGTTTCAAGTGCGGTATAGACACACAAAAAAAATGCTCATGGCCAGCTGGTATCAAAATGCCATTATTTTCCTTTTTCCACCACATGAAAAATGTGTTTAATGTCTGAAGACATGCAAAACACCTTAACCTTGAAGGAACAAAACAACACAAACTATTTGACTTAATAAAGGAGTGATGTAGTCTAGATATAATTGCAACAATTTTGTTATGTCTGACTAGAAGTCTAAGGCCTATTTTTATTTTTAAACAATAACATTCCTTGCCTGCAACCTCTTTGTGGTTCAAAAAAATCTGCACAAAAACAGTGCAAAACAATCTTGTATCACAAGCACAAAAGAGACTGGTAGATTAAACCACATATCCTCTTCTCAGACCACCCTAGAGCATACTAGCTGCAATATGCTTCTAAAGTATCAAAATATATACTTTCAAAAGCTAGGTAAAGAGATCAGAAGAAGTAGGTAGATAAATGTGGGGTTTTGTTCTACTGGCAGTGGGTCATGGCATTAGGCATCACGGACAGCTATTTATAGCCAGGATGGGCTCAGATCTCTCTATCACTGACTGGGGCACAGGATGGATCTGAAAGACGGAAGAGCAAGATACAGCAGCCCAGGAAATGCCATATCTTGACCATTCTCCCCTCGTGGACAATGCTTACCCCATCCTCATCTTCAAATGTGGAGTATTGTGTGTTGTGCTGATAAAAGGATAAAAGGATTCACGACTCCTTACTAAAACTTTTGGACAGACAGCAAGATGAGAGAAACAAATTCCTACAAAATTTTGTTGACTCTTTGCAAAAGCATTTACAAGATTTGGCTGATCCCTTACAAAAACGTCTAGATAGAGAGCAAAATGAGAGAACGAAATTGGAATCCCTCCTTAATATGGAAAGAGGCCTTATCAGAAGAATGCACCTTGAACTTTGTAAGGCTGCAGAGCAGGAGAATATATTGAGAGTGACACAGGTATCCTGTCAGGGATAAGAAGCTGGTGAGGGGAGTACAACATCTTGGAGAGCAGCTCAGTTAAGGAATTAGTTGAGAAATTGCAGCAGCAATTAGCAAGTGAAAGGCTGCAAAACTTTTAGAGAGAGTGACTAACAAAACACTAAGCCCTCTGTCCCTGTACCCAGTAAGGAATTAGATGAGCACGAGGAGACCGTGCACAGAAAATGAGTGGCAATGTGACCTCTAATTAAAATGGAAGTAATGGAGGGTAAGGAGGATGAGAAGAAGGAAATAACTAAGTCATTGCCGTATTCAGCTGAGAATTTAGTAAAACTCCAAGAGAAGTATGGTAAGCGACCCCAGGAGTTAAAAACAGAGTATGTTTTAACTGGTGGGAACAGGATCCTCCTATCACAAGAGGAAGCCCACGGAAACTAGGGACCAGGGGTTTTCCTACTGGTAAATGATCCTGCTCCAGGGTGAACCCAGGTCCCTCACCCAGACGGCTGCCTACTGGGCAAGGGGTTTATCTCTCCAGGAAAGGGGAGACCCCATAAGTATCCCCATGTCAAGTGGGGGGCCTCCAACAGAAAATATTCAGAAGATTGATTGTCTTCAACTAATGCATGACTGCCAGTTAGTGCAGCATTAGCTATCCCCGCTGCATTTGATCACTAACGCTGATTTTACGACTCTACTCATTT